AATCACTGAGAAAAATCATCTAATATTCATAATTGTTAACGAGATGATATTTAAAGAGTGTTAAAAATGAAACTATTAGTCATGAAGCTTACAATGTTACTTTGTTTCAATATTACACTTTTATTCTTGTAAAATCTATGATGAAGTTCAAAAGCATTTTGCAATGGCCTTAAATTGTGAGCCAGGATTTATAGCAAAGGTATTTGATGCAATGAAACTTAATCAGTTCCTTCCAGTATGTATTTTAGTAAGGAGATTGTCAATCCCATGTTTTTAAATAGATAAAATACAGGCCAAAGTTGACAATATTACAGTTGAGAAGAAACTATTTTATCTTAAAAAATTTCTTGAAATTCTGAGATCATATAATCTAATTTTCTTAATAATAAATTAAGGTATATGTATGTTACATACAGAATTTTGTTATGGACAAATAAGGATCGACAAGCTTCTTTTTGTGCAAAAATAAATGATTTTTTCTAGTATTACGACAAGCCATAATGTGTTTTACAAACTTACCGGTAACAGTTTTTTTTTATACTAAAATATTTAGGAATAATTTGGGTTGTTTATCAATATATTAATGACTTGAATTTTGACAAATTGAATTTGTATCAAAATAATTTTACGAAATATAAAATTGATGTTCTATTACAAGATTGAGTTTTTATTGTCGACAAAAACCAGGATAAATACTGTCAAGACTTAAATATAGGCCAACTTGGGTTTATATCAAATTGGGAAAATCATGTAAATATAATTCTAGTAAACCAATTTGATGTAGATTCAAGGGAATCGTTCGTGTATACGTCGACCTGAATATGTTCTTATAATAAACATTGTTAATTAAACAATTAGAATCAGGTCGATGTAAGCGTGATATTTCAGGGCTAGCTCGTACTAAATATCGGTGCTGGAAATATACAAAGGAGATTTTTGAGCACATACCCGCCGATAATTGGGACGAGCGGAAAAATATAAGATAGTGTGCTGAAGACAGGGGAGTAGGTTAGTCCATCGATGTGAGTCGTATTATACAGTTAGTAATTCGCGTCATCAGTCCGTTAGCAGAAGACAGCGCAGACTGAAGATGTTCCTGTAAGTACTTAGTTAACTAAACCATTAAGTCTTGGCATTCCCCAAACTTGTATTATACTGTGAACTCTATGTTAAATAAATGTGTATTTTTGTTCAATATTGGTTGTTTGATTGAGAGAGAGAACCTGGTATAGCGACCATAGCAAACAACCCCAGCTAAATACATACTAATAATAATACCCTTAATAAAATCAATGATGTTTTATGTATTATGAAAATATTTGTTAGAGGACATGTTATGTAACAGTTTTTGAAACACAATTTGAAGGGACAGATAAAAACAGAAACAAAAACATATTTTTTCTAGGTTTATATTAAAAATACAAGGTAGGTAATCATCAAAAATAATTATGAACCAAATGTTTTTTTATGAATATACAACTTGAACAAAAAGTTGTTTAGAACAATTTACCAAATTTACCAAAAATTTTTAAATTGAAGCAACGTAATTCTGTACAAGTAAACATAAAATATTGTAAATACTTATTTAATATCATTTCGAAATTTTAACGACGAAAAGGTCATCTGTCCGTAGCGTCTTTTGTCAGAATATTCGTATATTTAATTGTATTATATACATATTGTACAGTTTTTGAAACTGATAATTAAATAAATCATATTAATGTTAACTAACCATAATAAATGATGGAATTTCACTAAATTTAAATTGCCCCCCGTATGGTTGAAAACAGCAAATTGATATTTGATTACTTATAGATTACCACCTATATACAAAATGACACGAAGACCTGGAATATGGCGCCCAACTTGATTAGACCTTCTGCGCATGTTGAGGCCATGTTGAGGCTCAAGTCCCGTTTTCAGAACTGCGTCGTGTCGCGGGCGACACAGTTTGACATTTCAAACAACCAATGAGAACTGTACTAAATTTAAAATTGACAGCTGTTTGAATTTTGTACAAATCTCATTGGTCCTCTTGACGTGTCGCTGTTCTGAGAACGGGGCTTAAGTCCCGTTCTCAGAACTGCGACTGTTGCCAGCGACACTTGCTTTGCCAGCGTCTAAAATTGCTATTAATCTACTAACTTGATATTTTTAAGAAACTATGATACAAACATTATAATCAAAGTAGGTGTCAATCAGTGGCGCTGTCGACACGACGCAGTTCTGAGAACGGGGCTTTAAGCCCGTTCTCAGAACTGCGACTGTCGCCAGCGACACGACAAAAGAACCAATCAGATTTGTACAAAATTCAAACAGCTGTCAATTTTAAATTTAGTACAGCTCCCATTGGTCGTGTCGACAGCGACACTGATTGACATTTCACACAACCAATAGGAGCTGTACTAAATTGACTTGTTGAAACAACACAAATCATTAGACTTTTGTCGTGTCGCTGGCGACAGTCGCAGTTCTGAGAACGGGGCTTCATTCTCTATCCCTTCTATTTCTCTGATCAAAACAGAATTTATTCTTGAGATTTCATTGATGAGTAAAAGCTGGTAAAAGCCAGAGATATAGAAGTAGGTGGTTAGAGGCATAGATAAAATATTTTTTTAATAATAAATTTTAAAAATGTGTTCATGCAATAAAACTAATAAATTATTATAAATACATAATTTATGCTACAAAATATTTGACAAACACTATTAAAAAATGTGTTTTTTTTTTTTTTTTTTTTTTTTTTTTTAATATAATTAAAAGATATTATAAGGTACGTATTATCATTATAATATATATTGATTGATAAACTAAAATGTTAATGGATCTATTATATAAGATGTTTTGTTATTTAGATAATATTAATTACAAAAGAAAAGTAGATACATGTGAACAACTAATTTTTATATTGAATATCAGTAGAAATACATTAATAATATAATTAATATAATGTATAATGAAAAAGCACAAAATTCATCTTTTCTGTTAGCATGGAGCTTTCAGACCAGTTATACCATAATAAACAACGATAGGTTTGGTTACCTATGCCGTAAAATATATTCGGTAATTTTAATTAGAAATATTAGCACAGAAACAAAAAAAACAATGTTCTGTAGTTTTAAAATTCTATAACAACAGAGCGGCGTTGCCAGATTAAAAATTAATCATAACGGTTGATGTAAAAACGACGAAATTTACAAATATTTCTTGTAATCTTTGACTTGAATCTTATTAAGTACTAAATAAAATTATAAATATTGTTTTTTTTATCTAAAATAATTTATTAGCTCTAATTATATTATTATTTTCTTAAGATTTCCCCAAAGTATACGTATACAAAATTAAAAATAAACAAAGGCTTTGACAAATCTCCGGTAGACTTGGCAACATAACAAACAATAACAATAGGATGTTGGCATTCGCATAAAATGTAAACAGTTCCCCTGTGACCATAGAGAAAGTTAATAGTTTAGAGAGTGGTGAATCGCGTGGTAAAATGTTGGGAGATTGCGCTTTTAGCGCCCTCTGCTTGGCTACAGGTACGAACTATGAAAGAGCGGGAGATTTAAATTATTATTATACTTATTATTTTTAAGGCAATTAAAACTAAGAGTGCCCTTAACCAAAAACAGTGATATAAATGGAGATACCTACTCAAATTTTTTATTATCATGATACTAAAGGATATAAATACAGCATTTATAATCCTTTACACCTTTTTATTCAAAGTCTTACACGCTAATATAAATTTGACTATTTCCATTTATTTCACTATTTTGGTTAAGGGCACTCTTAATTTTAATTTTCCTTTTTATGGGAAAACATTAAATGGGAAGGAGTGAATGGGAATGGAAAGAATGACCAATTATTGTATTTTAATATTAATTTATAATACCCCTATTCTACTAAATATCTAGCTACATTGTACTTACAGTTAAATAGCTACATTGTACTAGTTATATACATATTTACAGTTTAATGATGGCTATTATTTCTTTTTCATCGTGCTATCAATTGATTCGCTCCGACTTGAGTACTATACCTCGAGATGGCTCCTGGAATTATTTACCTTTACAGGCCTAGAATATGAAGATTCACAGTAGAATTTTTGGTTTTACTGCCTATTAGAAACAAACCTACCCCCCCTACATCAAGGGACATACAATTATGCCTTGTTCTCGGCCATGATATTCCTTCCATTCTATATTCTATATCCAACATCCAACTTAGCAGACCTTCTGGTTCACAACAGGGCCTAGACTGGTCGGATGATATTTTAACAGAATAGCCCTTGATATCTCTTTCACACTTTCATTTAATAATTAAATAGGAGGGCTGGATGGTATAATTTCTAGAAAGAATAGCCAGTGAAATAAAAACTTAGGCATGGACATTACCTTTCTTACCTTTGTCTGCTATTTTTTAATAAAAAACAACTGTTTAGTTTGCAGAAAAATAAAATTAACAATCAAAAATTTCTTAAAAAATGATCAAGCCTTGTACTACGCCGCGTGCGGGAGAACCACATCTGTCCTAATGAGCATCTGTCCGAGGTGGCGGTATTCGTCCTACGGGGTATTTGTCCTACCAACCGAACGTCACTTCGGGCATGTTCGGTAGTCCTAAAAATTCCTGTTTCAGGAATTTTGTCCTGGCTAACGTACTAAATCTGTCAACGTCGCATACTTTTCAATCTTGTTTTGTTTTGGAATTTGACAAGATTAACCTCAGAAAAAGTTTAAAATTATAATTTTTATGAACATTGACGAATAATGTTATGAATAATGTAATAGAACCTGATATAAAATAATCCGGAAATATTTACAAATAAAGCATAAACAAAATGAAAGTGATAGCAACACGATTACCTTTGATAATGTGTTTTTTATACATATAAGAATACGTCTACATGGGTTGAAATCTCAGGTGTGTATTTAGATAATATGTATTCAAACAAAAGCTGTAAAACGATTAACAATTTAGAAAATATTAAAGCTATCCACAAATTCCTGAAAATAAATTAGCCGTGATTTGCGGAAAAAATGTTCTTAATTATTTTTTCCCGCATGATGTCCTTTCAGGTTCCAGGTATGTGATATTGTTTTAATTGCAAGATCGTAGCTTACAAAAATTCATTCTTCAGGAAACAGCACGGGCATGTATTAGGCATAATAAGTAATTATAAAATATGAGCAAAAAATGAGATGGTTTAAAAGAGTGAAAATTTTAAGGTTAAGAAATCTGAAACTCAAAGGAAAACTGATTAAAACTGATAAATAAGTACCGTTAAACTGGAAAAGCAAACTAGTAAGTATTTTATTATGAATCTATTCACTATAACATTGGTATTTTTATGAAATGTATTTCTTTTGAATTACAGCTATACGCATAATAGAAAAGACAATTTATCATCTTTAAAACCATAAGGCATATGATATATGAGATAGGTAGGTATGTACCATGTGGTAGGTACAATATGATCGAAAAAAAAGCAGCGTCGTGATGGCTATGAAATGAAGATCGTGTCATTTTAGCAGCAAAATTATATAGGGAATGTCAAGGATCGTCATTTCCAAGCCAACTGGACGCCGTTTTTTCGATTATATGAGACATAAGTGTCAGCCTTGCTAGACCACAGACTTTTATATTATACTTCTAGCACAAGGACATATCGGCAAGCCTTAGGTTGGTGTTTACGCGTGTAGGTGTGAATCGCTATGGTGATCTGGTCGGAGATAGAAAAATATAAAATATTTATTACATAACCACACTTAATCTGATGATTTCCTATGCATTCAATACCAAGTTCAATACATCTGATTGTAATAAGCATATTGGACATACTCTTCATATACATGAAAATCATATCAATCGTGTATCACATAGCACATTTAAGAGGACTGATCCTATAAAGCATTTATTTTGTTTTCTATTTATAACCTCGTTAAATCATTTATTTTGTAGATTTATTGAATATTAAGCTCTAGGATAAAAATACCTGCTTAGACAGAACAAGGGTATTTTTGAATACTTTATTTAGAAGATCTTGTCAGGACAATGATATAAGATTACAGAAAAATATCTGACGTAGGACAAATGTATAAAGTCTTCAGGATACCCTTGGGGAACAATTTAGAATGATGCAGCGTAAACTACAGTAAAGTCTGAACATTAAAGCATAAAGGTAAATAAATTATCCATACATGTGTGCAGCAAAGTCGTAATATAATAATTTATTGTTTGAAACAAAATCCACAACCTTCTGCCTGCCAAATACAAATAGTACACATCTTATTTTACTAAAATTATTGTACTCTTCATACACACAAAAATCGGCACCCAAGGCCTGAAATGCCAACTCTAGTATACCTATTCTATGTAATAAATATTTTTTAAGTATATTCATTTGTATTATTATCTTTCTAGATTAAAATATTTTTAATCAGTCTGAGAATCAATATGAATTTATTTTTAAAAAAAGAACGAGTACCTAAAAGCAAAAATGATTTAAGTTAGTATGTCAAAATAATAAGTTAAGGTATTTTTAGAAAACCTGTATTTTTAAATTGCAAAGCTGATAAATTTCAAATATTTTTCAAACTAAAAAAATGTATCGATCTGAATTAATTTTCAAATATAACCAGAAAAAAAAATATCTATTAAAGTTGCAGCTGTGGTTGCAATACTCTGTATTACTAAAAAACATTTTATTTAAATTACAAATTACGGTATAAAGTTATAAAAAGTACTTTATAAAAAAGATCTCCCTTGTCCAAAGAAAATAATAAAGGAAAATTCTGAAATTTACAGAAATTTCTTTTCACTATTCAATTATGTTAATGAGAGTGAAAGTAAAGACTATGGAGAGCTTATTCGTAGTAAAGTAACTAGTTAATTAGTTATTCTGTGTATAGCAAAGACTACCTGTAACGACCCCTAAAAGTAGTTAATAATAATTTAACATTAATAATTAGGTATTTCTTGCCTGAGTGCCTTGAAACAAAACCGGTAAAATAATAAGAACAAAATATGTGAGCAAAGGAATTCATAAAAACCGTAATATGTAAAGTTGATTAAAACAAATTACATATAAATATATATAAATACTGTATATAAATACTGTAAAATCAAAAAAAAAACAGCTGGAAGAGCAGCAATTTTTTTTCAATTGTATAGTACTGTATGATCGAAAAAAACGGCGTCCAGTTAGCTTGTTAATGATTATCGATGACATTCCCCATATAATTTTAAATATAAAATGACAGCAATCATTATTTCATAGCCGACCACTGTGACCATTGTGTATTATTCTTATTACTAATACTGCACCCAATCACTTTTTTGACAATAATCTATAAAAATAAAAAGGTAAACAATTTTTCATATTATAAAATAATTTATTTCATTACAGGCCATGGCACAAACCGTCATTTTACTCCGAATAGGACATGCTATTTTTTCAAACGTCACAAATATTTTAAACAATTTTTTTTTCCAAATAATATAACAAGATTTAAAAGTAATACCTTAGCTAATTATACCGTATGAAGTCGAATAAAAACGGCGTCAGCGATGGCTATGAAATGACAATCGATGACATTTCCCCATATAAATTTACATATAAATGACGATCTTCATTTCATAGCCATCGCTGAACACCCAATATAATATATCGCGAAACTATGGTTACACTCGTTGAATTTGACACTTTATATCAGTTTAATAATATATTTTCGTACTTTTATTGCTTATGCGTAAAAGTGCTTTATTTTATGCCTAGGCATTAAAATTACTTTATTTTATCAATCACGTCGCCAAAATTAATACTTTGTTGCGTTTGAAAAAAAATCATTTATTTGTAAGTTTTTATAACATATCTAATTAAATTGGGCCGAAAGGAGTCAGTTCTGAACACACATCCGTGGTTCTGAATCATTAATTTATTTTAAAGAACATAAATACCTAAAAAACAAAAAAAATTAAAGTTAGTAGATATGTCAAAATAATAAATAAATTAGATATTTTTAGAAAACCTATACATTTAATTGGAAAAACTGATGAAATTTCATATATCTTTCAAATTAGAAATTGTATCTAATTAATTTTACTCTAATTGCTAAAAACGAATATTACAAAATTAAGTTATAAAAGTGAGTTTAGTTATATTAAAGTTCACCATATTGTCAAAGAAAAAAAAATTATTGCTTTAAATTAAAAAATTATGTGCAGGTTAAACTACAAGTTAAACAATAGATAATCAAAAAGTTTTTTGATAAAATTTGCTTTTATGATGTCCAGATCATTTCTATAGAAAAAATACACTAGATAGAACATTAGATTTTTATTAAAGACGCTGATGGGTAACTAAAGCATTGACTAATAAAGCTTGTCCATTTTAATATAAGAGGTCACGACATATTCCCTTGGAATCTTTGTGAAGGTGTAAGGGGTGTATAATAAATTAATCCTTGTTTTATAATAAAAACCATAAAACATTTGTTGTGAGTTAAATAAACGCCTGCCCTCGCCTGTCATAGGCAACCAAAATACATATAAAAAAAATCTTGTAACTTTAGATGAACTTTAGTAATTATGTCAGTAAACTCTTAATTGGGCCTCTAGTCTATTATATTTAATGTGCAAATATATTATTAAATTTTAATCATAGATTAAATATTTTAATCTAAGCATTAAGTAATAAAAACTATTATTTGTGCCCATTTATCATAAGGGGTCACGAAATATACTCCTGGTAGTACACAAAACAGTGTAAGGGGTGTAAATAAAATGTATAATCATTGATTTTTATAATATAAACTATAAACATTTATTTCTTATTTGTGAGAATAAAAAAAACAAAACAATGCATAATATAAACTATTTTAGAATTAGGTATAGGCAACCAAACACACAAGAAAAATAATTTAGATAAAACCTTGTAATTATTTATTAAATATGTCAATAAAGTCTTAATTAAGTCTCTAGTCTATTTTTATTTTATATTTACATAATATAAATACCTTACACTCTTTTTCCGATACAGAAAATTTTGTTAATTGCTTCTTGAAAATGCGACAACCTGACAACGCTGTTTTTAACGTTCGGGACGCGTTCGGGTGGACGACTCTACCCGAACAACTGGTAGGACAGATGCTCATTAGGACAGATGTGGTTCTCCCCATCTGTTTCGATCCCCATCTGTTTCGATCATACAGTACTATACAATTGAAAAAAAATTGCTGCTCTTCCAGCTGTTTTTTTTTTTGATTTTACAGTATTTATATATATTTATATGTAATTTGTTTTAATCAACTTTACATATTACGGTTTTTATGAATTCCTTTGCTCACATATTTTGTTCTTATTATTTTACCGGTTTTGTCTCTCCAAGGCACTCAGGCAAAATACCTAATTATTAATGATAAATTATTATTAACTACTTTTAGGGGTCGTTACAGGTAGTCTTTACTATACACAGAATAACTAATTAACTAGTTACTTTACTACGAATAAGCTCTCCATAGTCTTTACTTTCTCTCTCATTAACATAATTGTAATAAAGTGAAAAAAGAAATTTCTGTAAATTTCAGAATTTTCCCTTTTATTATTTTCTTGACAATTTGGAATTTTTTATACTTTTTTATAACTTTATACCGTAATTTTGTAATTTTAATAAATAAAATGTTTTTTAGCAATACAGAGTATTGCAACCACAGCTGCAACTTTAAGATAGATATTTTTTTCTGGTTATATTTGAAAAATTAATTCAGATCGATACATTTTTTTAGTTTGAAAAATATTTGAAATTCTATCAGCTTTTGCACTTCCCCTAGGAGATGCAAGACCTTGTCGTTGGTGGGGAAGCTCCTTGTCAGGTGCTGGCGGAATCTCTTCTAGCACTTTGGCTCGGTCCAAGAAGCATCTCACTCACTCATTGTCTTGTCTCTGGCTGTAGTGGCCAGGGAATTGCACCAAGACATTTAAACCAGGCACCTTCTACTGTCTGTGGTCATGTCTCGCGGGTAGAGGGTGTGGGGGTCTTGGCCTAACCGCCTGGACCAAGAGGAGCAACCTCACCAAAAACCTAAATCCTACGATGGCAGGGCCAGGTCAAAGGGATGCGTGGCTAGATAGATGACTAGCCATTACTGGTCTCAACCTTGGGGCATCGAGGGGCACCCCATTGTATTTACCCCTACATGCGGGGCTCTGTAGAAGTGGACTGACTATCCTTAGCGACTCTTGGGAACACTATGAGATCAAACTATCATAAAAACACCACCGGTGAAGATGTGGGGAAACTCCCTAGTAACACTGGGAACAGTAACGATGAAAGTTCCAAGGGACCTATCCCAAAGGGAACTACAGGAGGGGCGGCTGACACTTGCGCGAGGCCAGCCTCCACAAGTGGTACACAAGCTATCACCTCTTCTAGTAAGGTTCGGGAGTCCACCTCTAGACCTAACAAGCGACACCAGTTACCGTTCCGTCTACCAGGCTTGGGTCAACCAGGCGGGTTAGACGATCCGCTGATAGTAGGTCTTAGCGGAGCAAAAGTACGGAGATACCTCCGGCTGCTCCACGAAGGACTTGCTTCGGAGGAAGCAAAAGCCAAAACTCTCCTTGAGAAAGGAACCAAGAAACAACCTGGCGCATCTCCACCAAAGGGCAAGATAGGGAGAACCTCTCACCTCTGCTAGGAGAGAAAAAAGCCAGGATGGAAAGCCGTCCCACACCGAGAGGCAAGCAGGGACGTATTACTAGCTATGCCGCTATTGCTGGACAAGTGAAAATTGCGGTGCTTCCAAAGGAATATCCTGAGGTTGTACTGACTACCGACCAACAAACGGCTCTAGAAGAGGCGATACTGGACGAAGTAGTAGCGAGCGGATTGCGACGCAACGATCCACAA